CCTACATAACCTCCAGTTTATTATCTATAAACAACTAATTGGAGTGAAGTTACAGGTTAATATTTAGGGCTCGTCGTCGCAACTGACATGCGGCCACTAACCCAGGTCCGGATCCAGACCTGCGCGACGAAGCACAGGCTCGGCCACACCAGCGAGGCAGGCCGTGCCGAGCTCGTAGCGCGGCACCGAGATTGTATGCTTCCCCCGTTTTGGTTGCTTCTTCTAGATTCACTGCAACCCCACTACGGTCTCTTCAACGCATCGACGCACACACACTCCACCCTGATCCCACGCACCGCGTTCATCACCCTTTCTGATCCACCCCCACTTCGCCTCCCCTTCGCCGATCCACTCTCATGTGCCTTCACATCCATGTTTCCGTCGTCATCGTCGTCCCTGCTTCCAGTTCCAGTTCCCTGAGCCAGGCACCCCAGTGGGCTGCGCTTCACATCGACTGAAATGGACAGGAAGCAGCTAGAGATCATGGCCTGATTCATGTGCAGGGATCTGCCTTGCACAGATGCTAGATCAAATATTGGTCAGAATCAGTATTCTGAATCGCCGTCAGTTTGTTTGACTGGAGGTGGTCTCACTGTGGAAACTAAAATGGAGCTTGATTGTCCCGTGACTAGATACGTGAGTCCGCTAGAACATGTTCCATGCATACTAGGTCCGTGCTCCTGTCATGTGTACACGTTTTAGTCCGAAATAGAGCTCATCGAGCCAGATCGATGACTTTCTTCTATGAAGAGTGTTCCTAACAGGGGATAGCTAGTCATTGGAGGTTTTTAACAGGAATATTAATAATCGCCAAACTCTTTGAGTTAACCTCGTAGATGCCATGAAACTGACGCATATTAGAGCTGGGCAGAGAAGGTGGTAGGTAAAATTGAGTCGTGCATACTGCCTGAGTTGTAATTTCATGAGAAAGAACTGCTATCGGTTGAATACGAATAATTGTTCCACTGAACCCTCCACGCATTTCAAAGCATATCAAACGATATTGTTGATACTCTGGATTAGTGATACTGTGACCCTAAACTCGCCCTTCGTCAACAGTTATAACACCCTTCAGTAGAATAGGGTGTTCACTTCGCGAATCGAATGATGTATGATTGATCAGTTTTTACGATCATAACAAGGATTTTGAGGGGTTGAATTTTTGCGTAAGCGAATTCATTCGAAGAAGGGACTGCTGTTCACCAGCATTGTATGGACTGCCGATAACCTAAAACCCTCGGATCCCCACTAGCCTTTTCAAACATCTTGTTTCAAGTCTCCCGCCAGATAGAAAGCTGCACAGTGTTGCCAATAATATCCCTTGAAGGATGTTGAAAGATTTCCAGGTTTACAAGCTGCGGATTAGGGGAACCCTTTAAAATCTACAGAGAGTGTCACCCAGTCTTCATCCTCAGTAGTGGTGAAGCCATCCGCCGATCCCCTGATGTGTCTCAAAGCCAGGGTGGATACATGCAAGCCGTCATTTTTAAAATGAGACGCATACAACGTTGTGATCGATCCTGAAATAGATAGAAACTGCTTTCAAAAACTCCCTGCAACTCCTACAGCAGGCTGAAAACAACGAGAACGTTGAATTGATGTTCGTATCCTTATGCTCTGACCAGACTGTAGTCTTACTCATGTAATCTTACTCGCCACTACGCCCATTCTAAACATTCAGGACATATCAGTCCCTTCTGTCAACTGAAACTCCTTGCTACACAATTTGTGAGGATCGGTGAGATTGATATCTGCTTCTGAAAATTACACATTGTATGGGCTGCTTGAAGCAACTTTCATCACATATACTAGTAACCACCCACTCTCCCATGTAGCTAAACCGACCGAAAAGCGAGATACTGAGGTAGAGCAAACGTTGAAAATGCATGATTCCGTAGCAAGCATGAACTCTCAAACCCGCTGGAGTTTCGAAATGAATGCACAGCAGTGGAGCTCATCCATTAGTAACACGCCGAATCTAACTTACTAGGATCTGATTTGATCCTTAGTGTCTTAAATCAACTAGATTTATCAAGCCCTGCCCAGTGCAACATTCATATTTACTCAGCTCCATGCACAGCTTCGGTGGTTTGCAACGGCTGATGTGGTGTGGATTCGAGAGGGATACACACTCTCTACAGACGTTAATGGTAGAAACAAAGAAAGCAGATCTTGTGTGCTGTGTCACGAAGCCACAATGTTTGCATATTTTGATGTTCATTATGTTTTAAGGATTCCCTTGTTCTACATCGTCTTCGACGTCGGAGTTCATTTAGACGGACACAAAGGTTTGCTGCCATGTCATCTATCTAGTATTAAAATATTTACACTTTGGCATAATTGTCTTATACTCTCAAAATGCACCTAAATAAATATGTTTTTTTTTTTTATTGTAGAATTTGAAATTGACAACTAATGATGTTGTACAAAGATTTTTTTGAGAAGCTAAGATATCATAAGTAATTTTGTTTATTTTTTGTATCATCAAATTTGGTTTTCCTTTCTTCTTTCTGTACTTTGAGTCCTTGTTAATTTTTTTGGATTTCAACATATTAATCTTTATTATCATCTATGGATTATTTTTTATGAGTAAGTTTGATTTTTTTTTGCATGCTTACATACTTAATTTAAGAGCCTATAATCCAATCTAAGAAGAAATAAAAGATAAAGAGAACCTATAGGAGTCCATAGCCTAAGAAAAAGACAAAGATTGAAAAATAATCAAAACAAGAGTGAAGTAGTATAAAAAAAGAAAAAAAAAGAAAAAAAAAAAAGACTATGTAGGTAGAAAAGATTTATGCCACTTGAGCTATTGATTGAAAACCTTGTGTCTAATAAAGAAAGCCTATATCATCTATTTTGGCCCCTATGGTTGATATAACCTTAATTATGTTCAAACACATTTATTAAAATAAAGATAATATTTTGCTTGTTACATATTTATTTTCTTAAGTAACAAGGTGTAGCAAAAAAGGCCTATTCTTTACAAATAATAACTAATAAATAATAACTACGGTTGACATACTAAAATATATGCCTTTTAATTTATTATTTTTTTAAAAATAATTTAGATTTCATAATTTGTAGAATATCACCTTTTGATTAAAATTTCTAATTTTTATTATAATTTAAAATGGTCTCTAAGGCCTGATTTTATTTTAATCTAAATTATAAAAATAATTTTTTAATTTTTTTAGATCTATTATATTTAAAATACTTTCAAAGTAAAAATATTATTAAGAATCTTTAATTTTTTAAAAATTTAGATAAAATTCAAATAATTCAATCTTGACCTTTTATTGAAATATGTACACTTTAAATGTAACTTTAAGACATTATATATATATATATATATATATATATATATCCATATTAATGATAATTTACATAAATTATCTTTAAAATAAATTAAAATAAAATTTTAATCAAAATAAAATTTTTTATAATATTGATCAAAATTGTAATATATTTTAATTTTAATCTAATTTTAACTTCTTTAATTGGACTTTTATATAACAATACATTTTCCTATATTAGATATATTAATTTAAAGAAATATTCTAATTTTTTTCGTTATTCAAACATATTCTAAACAGTTTTTTAATATTTTTATTTAAAAAGAAAAAAATTGACTAAGAAATTAAAAAAATAAATAAATAAGTAAATAAATAAATAAATAAATAAACTTAGATCTTATATACATACAAAGTCAACATCCAACCAACACATTAATTTTATTGATTAACATCTAAAATACAATGAGATTTTAATTATAGAGCACAATTGGCTAATTTCTTTAAGACTCAATGAAAAACACTATTTGTAACTAATATCATCTGATAAAATTATCTCATTCTACAACTTAACCAAAAATGTCAATGTTATCATACTTCTATTTACTAGTGATATCTCCATGATTTTACTTAGAAATTATACATTTATCTAAAATTATTTATGCTGTGGTGATTGCAAAAATAAAAATAAAAACAAAAATAAAAATCTTGTTATTTATCAAACTTTAAAATGCTTCTATTATAATATGGTTAAGGTACCAACTCACAAATATGTGTAAATAGTCAAAAAAAGATCTCAATACTAATCACAAAACTTAGACATATGGTGCTATTAAATAGCCATAAAAAGAAATAATCTCTTTGTGATTTTTGGAAAATTCTCCTCTCTCCATTCATTTTTGCATACTTGAAATTTTTAATAAAACATTTATTTCATTTTTACTAAAAACTTACATTTCAAAATGGTGGTTTACAAAGTTTCCTGAGATGATACTTGATAGAACAAGTAAAACTAAGTATTACTTCATTGTCAAGTACCTGTTGTCAATTACATTGTGTTATTTATGTATTTAATTTCATTGATTTATGAAAAAAGTACGCCATTTCAAATGGATCATGTCACTTACTTGCAAATGAATCATGCCACGTTGTTGTCTCCTACCAATGTGTCTGCAGTTCCATCACCTCTGAAGCGTCTGAAAGTTTCATCCCCTGAATCACCAGGAGAACATGTTACAATGACTAGAAAACCTTGACCAATCAACTAAACAATTCTGGAAAACAATGCTTTCGGTGCAGTCTTCGATGATGCAGGTGGCAGTTGATCTTGGTACAGTGCGGAGTTTAGCACCACATTGTTGCGTAATTAGAGTAGTTTAGTCCCATAACTTGGTGCATCAGGCCCTGCGGTGAAGCAATCCCACAGCTACTTACATTTTTCTCTATTTGTCAGGTTAGCTACATCCAATTCTCCTCATAATCAGCTAGCCAATATGATACAACTCAATGCGCAATTTAAGTTACCAGAGCCATAGTCGACCCACCAATCCACATCATGCAATGAACACTCTAAAATAATAAGGTTGCACATACACATTAAGATTAACAAATGTGGCGTGTTTTTATCATTCAACTTCCAGAGAGGACATAATCATGCACTGTGCGGATGTTGTGAGAAAACAGTCGCCATAAGAATCAGCTTCCGAATAAGAAGATGCTCAAAGAAATAGCTAAAAAATTTAACATTCAATACTGCTAATTTATATACATTGACAAAGGCAGCAACTCATCACTACGCTGAAAGGTTGACGTTACATGTCGAAGAGTGGAACTGATAAATTGTATGTCCTGCACTAAACTATTGGACGCTGCACACCCATCACTTGGGAAACAACTTTCTGTATGTATATGTTATGTTCAAGGGTGCAAAACTTAGTTGAAGAGCTTTAACTTCAAGGGAAGAGTTCGATGTAACCGGTGGCCACAGCGAAGCCTAGGATGAGAAGGGGTGGAAGTAAGACGAAGCCTGCAACGGTTGCGAAAAATGGAGCGTCGTTGCGCTCTGACACCTTGTTCAGATAGTTTTGGCGCCGGATATTGCGTTTCTGAGAAATTGTCAGTTGAGGGGGTGTTGGCTCTTTCTCCTCGCTGACCAGAGAAACCACCACTTCTTCAACTTCTGGCTCAATCTGGCTTGCGAGCTGATCTCGGATCGTCTTCACGTCGTCGCCAGCTGACACAACCACGTCTATCGTTAGTCTGACATCCTTCCAAGGTTTCAGGTTGAGAAACAGAGCTCATTTCACTTACGCAGACAAAGGATTAGATTGGTAATCACAAGAACTTTTCGTGCACTTATTAAAGATGTTGAAGTATCCCCGCTGAATTTGGAAGCTTGAGTGTAGTTCCATTGCATATCTAAATTATCAAGAAAATTGCAGATGAATATGCTTCCAGAGCCATAAGGCTGAATTCCTGCCGAGACCCGGAAAATGAGAAAACATTCAAGCAACAAGTATGAATGCTAGACACGAGAGCAAATATTACCTTGGGATGCAGTTGAGTTCTCCGTCATACGCTCCAACAGGTTCAGATGTGATTGCGCCTGAGGTCCTGCAACAAAAAAAAGGAACTTTCAGTACTAAATCTCCTCCCGCCTCACATCCTGTCACGCTGCAGAACTGAAACGAGAGAGAACTCTCAACATCAGATGGTCACAGCTAGACCGAATAAAACTAAACCCTAGATAACAGCTAATTGCTACTCTTGCTATGGAGAATGAACACTCAGCATCGAACTGAATGAGACTAGCCACCGCCATTTGTAACAGTAGAATTTCATGTCAAGAGACTTGTACCGAGGGATGTGCTGGTGCTTGCAGCAAACTCGGACGAATTCACTGACCCTGATTTGGAAGCCCTAATTGCAGTGCATCTCTTCCTCGAACCGTTTCTCGCTGTGCGCACTTCTAAACTTGGTAACCCACCAAGCATCACCCGGCAGCTTGACACCCTAGGTGCAAACCCACGAAGGTTTCCTTGCGCGCTCGTCGCAAGCCCACCATTCTCAATAGCTAAACCGCAGGAAATGCGAGAGGTGCCGTTCATAGAAAGAAGCAAAGAATCTCCAAAACCCATCGCAATAGAGCTCAAGTAGCCACACCAGCCAACTTAAATCGCTCCCAACTTTCTCTCCTAAATCACAAGCAATGCAGAAGAAGAATACTGAAGGGGTTACGACGAGGCGAAACTCAGACCTGGGCAGCACAAATGATGCGAAAAATTACGTGACCCTGTGGAAGACGAGATTTGTAAAGGGATTGGAGGAAGGGGAAGTACAAAGGTGGAGGAGCAGGGCGGCAGGCACATGGGTAAGCGGAGCAACGGCATATGTTGGCTACACCCCAACGCCCAATTCCATGGCACACAACACTTCTGGACACCAGCTATGCAGCCAACGCATCCAGTTGGGGCTTTGCCTACAGGAATCGCGGCCATGTGTGGCTCCTGTTCGACGTGAACTTACGAGGTGCACAGGCAACGACAAATGGCGGAGCAGTGCAATTGTGCGGACAAAAAAGACACTCTGCTGACAGGAAAACAATGAACACGACCTCAACAAATACAAAAAGTAAAAAAAATAATATCTTTCTGACCGGAACCCATTGATCTTCTGACTCATGCAAGCCTGGTGGGGAATAAGGTGGCCACAAGTGCGTCGGTTTCTGGGCTGCAGTTGCCGCTACCAGAGTGCCGCTCAGTCGGCATGCCTCATCTGAAGCACTTCTTTCTCATCATCTTCATCACCATTTCTGACAACTAGATCCAACACAACTGCTCCTTGTTTTTTTGGAACATCGTAGAGTCATTTTCTGCCATCGTTTATCAATCGATGTTAGTGATTTGGAGCTGGGATTTGAGCTAATGTGTTGAGATTTCACAGTCCTTACATACCATCTTTTGGAATTTTTTATTTTTGAAAACCTTGTGAATTTTTAGCACATGAAGTGTGAATTCTTTTGTTAATTAATAGTATTTTCAAAATGACAAGGTACTAGGTTAAAGCATTGATATTAGATGTACTAAATGTATCTTTGAGTGGGAGAGAGATATAGTTCCATTTTATGGAGGTGATTTAAACTAAAGATGGTTAGTTTGTCTTTTAATTTTTTTTATAGTAACATATTTTATTTTGAAGTCTTTTGCTAACTAAAGTCAATGTTTTTTTCCAACAAACTTTATTATAGTCTATAAGTTTAAACCAAATAATTCTATTTGTCTTTTAATCAAACTAACTTTTTTTTAATCTAAATATAAGGTCATTTTGTTGTTTCTAAATGGTCTAGAAGCATAAACCTAAAATTAGAGGTCATAAGATCTTTATGTCTTAGATGTGATTTTATTTCTATATATAGCCTATTGTATGTTGAAAGCTGATTACTTGCTAACTCTTAGGATTTTTTTGTTTAAAGAAATAAATAGTACTTATTCCTTCATTCCATATATATTGTGCAACTAAATATTCTCAAATTTATGTAATTGTTGGACTATAAAAAGAATTTTTTTTGATAGCATTGTTAAGTTATTGTCTCTATGAATTTATTTCTATGCTTTTAAACCAAATATACTTTATATTGATTCAAAGTATTTTATTTATTTATTCATACTCTATTTTATTGTTAAATTTGAAATATTTTACATTTTTTTCAGTTTGAATATTCATCATTTCTTTCTATTCTTTAAAAATAAAACTACCTCTAATTTTTTCTTCATTATGCAATCCACACCTTTCTTGTGTATTTATTTAAAAAAAAAAAAAAAAAAAAAAAACACACACACACAACAACATAGTACTTTAACTTTTGCAGCAACTTGTTTAGACTCATATACATGTGAATGTATATAGTGTAGCATACCCTTATACAATGAACAATCACAATAAAGTTTATTTTGAAATGCCTTCTAAATATACTATATTTATAAAATTTTACCTTATAAAAATGTACTTCTTTCAAGAGTTGATGCTTGTGAAGTTCTATAAGTCCATGCCTACTTATGTGATCCAATTGTACATGACACAATCAAATAATATCTATTAAAATTTTCGTTTGGATTAGATATAATAAAAACTCAGAGTATAATAATATCTTTTATAATCTCATATAGGTTTTCAATCCTCTTGCTCTTTATTACCATATAAGTACCTTTAGAAACTTTACAAATTCTACCTTTTATTATCTATTTATGATCTACCAGATCTAGTGCATTAAAAGAAAATAAGTTCTTTTCTAAATCAGAAAGATATCAAACATTAGTTAATATTTTCATAGTCTTATCAAATATTTTGATCAAAACTATGCTAATTCAAAAAAAATTGGATGAATTATTATTTTCTATCAATAAATATTTATAATTATATATGATATAAATATAGAAATGATCTATTAAAAGATATATACAAAGTAAGCACCAATAATTAAGGATTCATATATTTCAAAAAAATTTACTTTTCATAGTAGCAATAAGAATAATTTTAAAATCTCCATATAAATTTGTAAAATTTAATTATTTAAAAATAGAATATATTTCAATTATAAATCTTTAGATTTTAACATAGATTTTTTTATTTTATTTTGCTTTATTTTATAATTTTTTCTATTATTTATGTCTTTCACAAAAATGCTTCAAAATATAAAGCTATATTGTTTGGACTCTTTTTTATATTTTTGGATAAAAAAATAAAAATGATTATTTTTAATTATATTTTATTATTTTTAGACAATAAAATTATGTCCAATTGTTCAAATGATAGAAGCAACAAATTTGGTAACAATTTTATTTTATTTGTCTTCTAATTTAATATCAATACATTGTTAATTCATAAAAAATTTTATTAAAGATATTGAAGTCACCAATGCACTTGTATTCTCCTTTATATGTGAAGCATCTAAGTTTTGCTTTATATATAATCAGTTTGTCAATATCTTTGTCACTCACAAGGTCTCTAATTTTTTCCATAACTTTGGTGTTAAACTTTCCTTCACAATATTATACAACATCCTATCTATAAAACTCAAATAAATTAATTATATATTTTTTATGTTGATTTCTTTCTATTCTTTGTTATTCTTATTTAATGAATAATTTTTGGAATCTTTTTTATATTTCATATCTTTACTTTTAACTACCACAACTTAAATTTTGTTTTTACTTCAAATTTTTCAACTTCATTGTAATACTTTGATATTAGTTGAAAGTTTGTAATATTGATGAATATCATATATTTAAAAACATTATTTCTTTATTAATAATATTTTTTTAAAAAATAATATGCTATTTTCATTAAAAAAACCTACCATCACAAAAATAGTCACATAAAATTTTGAGATTGAAAGATATAAAATAAAATATATTAAAAAAAATAAATAAGGATTTTTTTAAAATGAAGAGAGATTAGAGAAGTCCATATGGTTAATAATGTGGGAGCTTTGTTTGAGAGTGTTTGAGAAATATTTAAAAAAAAATTAAATAATAAAAATACTTTAAAAGAAGCTACAAAGTTTTATAATATCAAAAAAATTATATTTTTTGAAATTCATCTTTTGTTTAAAATAAACATAATTATGCTTGATTTTTTAAAATATAGAAGTATTTTATATTATAGAGATTTTAAAAAAAAATAAATTTACTAAAGTCATAATAAAGATTATTTTTAACATCTAAAATAAGATTTTTTGAATAAAAATTTTAAAACATTATTAAAAAAAGAGTAGTCTAATTAGAATTATGGACTTTATAGTTCAAAGATATAATTTCTTTTAATATAAAAATATAACATGTTTGTGATCATATAAGGCATATATTTCTTTTAGTCCAAGATAAGAACATCTAAATAAGACATTAAATAAAATATTAAATAAGTTTTATAACTATCTTCAATCATATATAATATAAATTATAAAGTGTAAAAAATAAATATTCCTACAAACTTAGAAACAATTTAAGATATATGTTGACATGACAAACTTAATGTTCTTGTAATTAATATAAATTTTGACTAGTTTACAATTGCCTTCTAAATAATGATGTTATTTGTAAAATGAATATACAATAGCAATTTTTTTGTGTTTTATCTTGATTTCCAAGAATTTTTTTGAATAAAAAATATGAAAATTAAGTCAATCGATTAAATATATTTGTGAAATTTTTTTATTTTATACAAATTATAATGTATCTATTTCCATAATAATGGCATAGAAACAATTTAGATGGAGTAAAATAGGAGTTAAGATGAATTTTGTCTTTGAACCTTAAAATATAACTTTTGATATATGTCTATTTATATATATATTTAAAATTTAAAAAACTTGAATTACAAGACTATATGCAAGGACAAAAAATTATAAATTTTACACAATTTGAGTAGATTTTTTTAAATATTTTTTTTTAGATGAAAAATTTTAAATTTATTCTAAATACATAAAAACTATCAAATATTTAAAATCTTCCAAATATCAAGATATATAATATATTATTTTCTTATATTTTTAGAATATATAAGATTTTAATTAAATAAAATAAAATATAATTATTTAAGATTTCTCAAAATATATCATTCATTAAATATTAAAAGATAGTTGAAATATTTATAAGTAAAAGGGCATGACATTATATTTTAAAAAATAATAATTAATTTAGAATAAAATATTTTATTTATCTTTTTTTTTTACATATTATATTATAAGCCTCATAGAAATTTATTCTAGTAAAGATCTTAGCTTTATTTATTTTGTTACAAAACCACAATATTAAAGGAAAAAGATTCTATTTATTAATGTTTAATTTTTTGAGTCTAAAATAATATACATACATTTTTAAGGGTATATTTAAAATAAAAGCTTTGTTCTATGATAATTTATAAATTAGTCTAATAGTAGATGAGTTCTTTCTTGAAGATTAATTGCACAATAGTAAAGTTGGTATTTTAGAAAAACATGAAAATTCTTCTTTTTTTATACATCTTGAAATTTATTATATTGCTTTTGGATTCCACTAAAATTCCTATTTAATTTAGAATTTTGTGTTACATAAATAACAAATAGAATTTTATTTATTTTTATTTATTTTTTTGTAACTTATATAAATACCATAGTTCTTGTAAAAAATCTGTATCTTAGCCAATAAGTTGATAATTTTTAATTTTTAAAATGTTTTGTTCTCAAATTGAATAATTAGTTCTTAAATATATTGCCAAAAGGTTTTTAACCAATATAGAATACCAAATAAGTTATTATAATTTTATGAGTAGTTAAAACCAAATATCCTATAAAGATATTATTAACCTTCTAGGTTAAGGTTAGCAATTACAACATCAATTAAATTGTATTGAAAAGATTGATATAATAACACTTCAGTCGGATTTGTTGATAATTTGAAGAATTTATGAAAAAAAAGAAGTAATAGAAGACAATCATGTTATCTAAATTAATTATCAATATCAATTTATTTAAGT